CTTGGTTCTATTGCTCTGTGTTGGTTTCTTTCTTAGGGAGGGTCTTCACATATGGAGACAAGAAAGTCTCCAACAACTCTGAACTTTTCTTTCAGCTCAGCAATCCCTTTCCCTAATAATTCCAGAGGAAGTTCTGGTATTGACTTCAATTGGACAGGCTCTTCCCTATGCGGATTCTGAAACAAGCACACAGTTAGGTGTAAACTGTTACATGGACCATGCTCACCTTCTCATAGGTAAGGCTAGTGCCATCCGAAACTCCTAGAATAATACTGGGGGGGTGGATAATTCCCAAAGGAAAATCTGGTACTCCTACTAAAATGACTGGGAATGATGTGTAGCAGGCATAACAAGACCTGCTCATTGTATACATCTGTATGGCTGAATCATTACCGAATCCTGACCACAAACATTTGCTATGAATGATGTTCTATCCTGCCTGATCTTGCAGGATAGAACATGTCCTTCTTTTGATTATAAATTTGGTTGGGGTTAGTTACGTGGTGTGCTGAGGTCTCAGCAATTGGCCAGTGGTTCTGGGAAGGACTGGTTCTGTAAGAACATGGTTGGAGTTCTGGTCCCCAACAAGAATGTGTGTGCTGTCCATGAAAAATAGTGAAGTTGGGGGCCCTCCCTGGTGGTGCAACGGGTTAGGGCATGGCACTGCAAACTAGCCACAGCTACTTTAGTGAGAATTTGATCCCCCCCAGGAAGTGACCCACATGGCACAGCAGACCTCTCCTGTCTCTCCTGCTGCTCCCCTCAGCAGTGTACTTCACTGGTCTGCCTACGCTGCTCCCCACTCTGTCTATGGTGAATCCTCTCACCGCCCCTGCATCTCTGGCCTGCACCCTGTTCTGTATGAATAAATAAATCTTCAATTAAAAAAAAAAAGTGGTGAACTTGGGAAAGAAACTTGGTAGAGGCACTTATTTGGAGGCCCGATGATGTTTGGAGTCTGGTAGGGATCTACCTCCTTCAGGCATTTGGAGTAAAAACAGCCAATATCTAGGGGTTTTGAACTTGGCTTCACATCTCAGAGGAAAAGATATGTTTCTGGAGTGGAAAGAGATTAGGTAATGAACTCTGCATCCTTCTCTGACGAAACCCCTCCAGATGTGTGAGATTTACATGTGCACAACAAGTAAGAACAAAGAATTTCACACAACTTATTATTAATAGGGCTCTGGCACCACATCCTGTTTCAGAACTCTTAGTTCTAATGAACTGTGTTATTTAACTATAAGCTGAAGGGACTCCATCTGTGCAGCTGAGCTAGAGAAAGACTTAAGAGGACAGGACAGGGCCTGCATTTATTTGAGCTCCCCAGCTTGAGACATGGAAGAGCACTTCCTTTCCCCACATTTGGGGGGCAGCTTCAGATTGCATGAAATTCTAGGAAGCCTGGCTCTCAGAACATGAAAGAAAGAAATTGCAGTGAGAGGACTTAAAACAGCATTTCTTGACCTTATCTTTGACCTTGTTCAACTCCATTCTTCACAGGAAAAGCTAAAGGGCCCTGTTTGGGAAGCGAAGTGACCACTCTGTAGGATGATTTGCAAAAGAATTATGGGTGGGGGCTAAGTGAGTCTAATGAAATTCATATTTTTTCCTCATGACCGGAGATCTTGATTGAGTAGGTCTTGGGTGGGTGAGAACTCTGCACTCTTAACAAGCAGCCCAAGAATTCTGATGCAGGCAGTTCGGGAAATATGATTTGAGGTCCACTGGCTTTGACGCTGGACTGTCTACAGTTTAGGGATGTGGGTAGGATGCAGTGTTGGAGATCAGAATGGAACTAAGCCAAATGTTTATGTACTTCCTTTGGTTGGTTTTGGCAGTTTGAGGCAATCTGCTTAGTGGCTCTGGGACCATAGACAGTGATGTCATTCCATGCTGGGTCTCTCTTGCATCTGCTGACTCCCCATTTTTTTAATTTTTTGCAGTGAAACCCCTTTAATCAACTAGATTGGACATCCAATATAACTCTCTCTCTCTCTCTTTTTTAAAGATTTATTTATTTATGCTTACAGAACTGGGGTACAGGCCAGAGGTGCAGGGGCAGTGAGAGGATTCACCAGAGACAGAGTGGGGAGCAAAACAGGCAGATTGACAAAGTACACAGCTGAGGGGAGCAGCAGGCAGGTCGGGGGGGGGGTCTGCCACGCCATGTGGGTCAGCAACCTGACTGGGGATCGAACTTGTGCTGCAGTGGCTTCGGGGAGCTTCATAATGCAGTGTTTTAACCCATTGCACTACCAGAGAGGGCCTCTTATCATTAAATATTTTCTTAATAATAGGAGATCATTTAAAAAGCACAATTAATAATTAAAACTTGTTTTAGTCAATTGTATACATACTGACACATATTCTTAAGTAGAATTTAACTCAGTTTGTAACCAGAGTTAGAGCCATTCCACCCCCGGTGTCTCACTGCTACTGAGGACTTAGTTCTTGGTATAAATGAACTGGGGAAGAGCTTAGAGAAAGAACAGAGCAGCACAGGTAGAATTGGTCTAGGAGTGAGGGTCGTCACTGCAGGAGGGTATTGATTTATAGGGCTGTGATTAGGGTAGTCTGTACAGGAGACTGTTCAGGGATAGGTGTGGAGGCCTGGAGAGGTTGTTGGGTTGGGTAGAATATTCTGAACTGGTGATGTTTAGGAGCTGCAAAACTCATGAGGGTCAAGAGTGGAATGTTCCATTAGGGGTGTGTCCTGTTCAAGCTGGACTTGGGGGTATGATGGGAGTGGAGGATACATAAAGCAGGCCTCCTCAGCTATATCTTCCAGGGAGTGTTTAGTGATGCTTGGAAGTGAGGATTCCTGTCAAAAGCAAACATACAGGGACTAGAAAGGACTCATTTCTTGCCAATATTTACTTTCCCTATTTGATTCCAGTCCAAGAAATGTAGTGGTGAGTATGCACCCCCTGCGTCATGCATGTCCTAGTGGGGGTACAATTGTGAAACTAGCTAACAGATAGGTGCATATAAAATTTCAGATAGTGACAAAGTTGTGAAGGAAACTGAAGAAGATGAAGTGTCAGGGTGTGACTATTTTAGATTGGGGCAGTGTCAGAGAGGACCACTTTGCAGAGGTGACATCTGAGCAGAAATCTGGATGAAGTGTGGCAGGTAGCATTTGGGGCCAGGTCTGACTTAATTCCAGAAGATGCTTGGGACCATGGATGTTTTCATGTCTGTCATGGGTGGTGAGTTCACTGGCACAGGTTCTATTTTGGAGTCGGCACTGACTCACTGACAAAGTATTGGGCAACTGTGCCCAGCTGTGAGACTGTTTCTACTGTAAAATGAGGATCTTTATAACCATCTCTGTTATTGTAAGGTCTCATGAGAATTGTTCATTGTCTGTTTAGAAAGTATTTTTATTACACCAAATTTGTATTTATTTCATGTATGAGACGAGGAATAAATGGTTAGCAAATAACCCAGCTATGTTCTCTGAGAGCAAAATGTGGCCTGGGTCATTCAGTGCTGATACCATGTCGATCTCTCAAAATGAGAGAATTCCTGCTGATTTTCTTTGCACATGGCTGAACGCCAGAGCAACATTCAAAGTTTCTGATTCCCATTTTCTTGCCATTCTTGTGAGGAGAAAAGGGGCAATTCAAGAATGAGAAGAGGAAGGAGGGGAGAAAATTTAATGGATTAAAACAATGAGAATGGGGAAGAAGAACTGGGAGAACTGGGGGGATAATCTCTTTGGCTGATAGAAGAGGTTCAAAAAGTCAGCCAAATCAATTGAATATCTGTCTGACTCTTTCTCCATGTTTTTCTCTCTCTGTGAGTCTTTTGATTTTTGGATGCTTGTTCCAGGGAAATCACAAAGTGGGCTTTGTTTTGTAGCTTAAGAAATGGAAGAAAGAAACTGATGAGTGACATCTGGAGATAAATAGGAGGTATGGAAAGGGAGAAAGTATAGGATGCGTGAGTACAATCACCTCTGTATTGGGATGAAGGTCCTAAGTTTGGGAAGTACATTCTCCCATCTGGCTTTAGCCTGAACCTTCTCATTTCAAAGGCTTGACTGAAAGATAATTGCTCTCCAAGATACTGGTGTGTCTGCTGCTCAAGAGGTCCAGTGACAGCTGGTTAGAGAAATTCCCTTATAGTGTGGTCGCTGCCTCAAATCAGTATTATTTCTGGGAAAAGGCTTTGGCAGTATTAAAAGCTACACAGGTGTGTCCAGATACAGTAAATGCTGGACTCCAATGGCACCCATCGCCAGCAAACCAAAGTGAGAACACACCTGTTAATTCTTTTATGAATCTTGCTCCTTACTACCCATTGAATAAAAGCCTAATTCCTCAGCCTGCCTCCAGAGCCTCCACAATCAGGACCCAGGTTATTTTTCCAGACTGATCTCTCGCCACCCTCTCATATCCTCTGGACTCCAGCCAAACCCCACAGCTGCTCAATCCTCTACACGCCCACATTCTTTCATGTACTTACTGTGCTTGTTACCGGGAGGTCCTATACATAAGCTTCACATATCACTTCTCCTTCTTTATGATCGGTCACCCCTGCCCCCCAGCATGGTGTAGGTATTCTGCAGCCCACATAGACTATTATTTGTGTGTACATCTTGTCCCTGCTGGATCGGGCACTAATAGGTACTGGGCTAAGACCGCCAGTCTTGGTCAGCTTGGGCTGCCATAACAAAATGCCATAACAAAATTATTTTCAGCAACAGAAAATAATTTTCTCACCATTTTAGAGTCCAAGATCAGGGTGTTAGAACTATTGTTTTCTAGTGGGGATTCTCCTGGCTCACAGACAACTGCTCTGCGCTCACTTCACTCAGAGAGATTCAGTTTCTCTTCCTCTTATAAGGACACCAGTCCTGGGGATAAGGACCCTCTCCCTATGTCTTCATTTAACTTTAATTACATCATTGTCTTACAGGGCAGACAGGTCTCTTCTTTAGTCCTGTTACCAAGAGTCTTGGAAGGATTCATATTGACACTTTTCTCTTCCAGGGCGATGTTCTGCAATGATTTAAAGGAAAAGTATGAGAAGAGGATCATTATCAAAGGAGTGGATGCTGAGACCATGCATACTCTTCTGGACTACACCTACACCAGCAAGGCACTTATCACCAAGCAAAATGTCCAGCGGGTCCTGGAAGCTGCTAACCTCTTCCAGGTGTGTGAACATGCAGGTGCGGTGCTGTCCTCTGGAGCAGAGGAGAGCAGCCATTCCCCAGAGACCTGCCTGGACTGGTTCCCAGGTCTGGATCTGGGATGTGTACACACTTAGCTGCGCTTACTTCAAAGGAAGAAGGTGCTGCTCAGTGGTGACATGGGCATCTTGCCCTTAAGGAGGTGAAACCAGGCGAGCTTGGTGCCTCATCCATTTGCTTCCTGACTCCAGAAACAATGGCTTAATTTATAGACACCTGAGTAGAGGCAGGAGCTGGAGTCACTACTTCATATGAGTAACTTCAGCTCGTTAGCACAATCTGGAGAGATGGTTACACCCCTCCACTTACAGGCGGTATAAAGTAAGGCACATAGCGGGTAAGTGACAAGGCTGTGACTGGAGCCCTGGGCCTTCCACATGCTTGCCACTACCCCAGGCAGTATCTTGAGGTGCAGTGTCTTGATTTAGGGTGGTGGGAACAGGGCTGATCAGTACTCCATGGTGGGTGTAAAAGAAGAGCACATGAGGAGTATTACAGAAAATCAGTTGTCTTGCTTGCACTTGACTGCTTCAGTCTGATTATAGTAATTACATTTAGCGTCACATAATATTAGGTCCATCAATTATGACAGTTGTGCCCATAGTTATCACAGGGACCCCATTGCAAGTTACCATCATCTTTTTTTTTTTTTTAGATTTATTTATTTTATACAAACAGAACTGGGGTTCAGGCCAAAGGTGCAAGGGTGGTGAGAGGATTCACCAGAGACAAAGTGGGGAGCAGAATAGGCAGATGTACTGAAATACACTGCAGAGGGGAGCAGCAAGTCAGGAGAGGTCTGCCACACTGCATGGGTCACCTCCCTGGCCGGGGATCGAACTCATGTTGCAGTGGCTGCAATAGCTTTATACTGCTGTGCTTTAACCTGTTGTATCACCAGGGAGGGCCCACGAGTTGCCATCTTTGCCTAGGTCTAAGATTAAATCTTGAGTGTGATTCCATTGTGTTACAATAGAGATTCTCTCCCTGAGAATGTTGACATTTATTTTAATTATAACTCAGAGGCAAGTCAAGTCATCCCAGACAAAAATCATATCTTACCCATGGCTTGGGGTTTGGGAAGGTGGTGACTTCTTGGATCATCAATAGGTCAACTGTTGCAGGAAATGGAGAACAGTCTGGTTTCTTCTGAAGAAGGTGGGGAGCAAAGTGTTCGATGGTCAAGACCATGAAGATTGGTGTTACCTTTGTGGAGGTTGGAGTTTGGGCAGGAATTATATAGCCCATCAGGGAGTGAGAACACGAAGAAGGAGAAAACTATCACAAAACCATAATGAATCCTGGCTAATGGCATGTTGCAATGTTAACTGATTTTATTATTTCAGTTTCCTTAGAACATTTTACAGACACCAAGTGTGTAACTTCCAGCAGGACTGGTCATGCCTACCTGTTGCTGTGTCTAAGTCAGTCACCACCCACACACAGCCTTCACTCTTTGTCCTAACCTGTTTATAACCTCAACCTTACTGACTGGGGTAGAAACACCCTACATTTAGTGGAGGGAGGGGACCAGCTGCTTCATCCTCAGCATCCCCATCTCATCCCCTCTATCCACTACTCCAACAATTAAAACTCAGGGAAATCCTTCTCAAATCACGAAGGAGCCTCTCAGTGCTGTCTTTGTGCTTTACCTGAAACACCTCTTAAAAAACAATTTAATGGGGATTACAACTGAAATGCAAAAATGCACAAAATGAAGAATGGTATGTATATATACATATAACAATTTAACTCCTCTGCACCATGAACTTGAAAAAAACCACTGCATTCACCATTATTAGAAAGAGACAGGAGAGAAAAAGACACTTGCATAGGCACAAACAGGCAGGAAGAGCTGCCCGAAAGGGACAGGTTTGCAGAGAAAGAGAGAGACCGGCATGGCTGCAGGCAGACGGCCTTAGGAGAGCGGCCTCCCCTGAGGGAGGTCAGTGCAGAGAAGTCCGGTGTTGTACCGGTCACTGCACGCAGGAGGCTGCTGCCCTGCAGAGGGAGAGAGCGGGTGGAAAGAAGCACCTGCATAGGCACAGGTGGGCAGAGGACTGCTGCCAGTTAAGTCTTTTTTTTTTTAATTAAGCAGAAATTGCTTAAAAGAATTTTTAATTTCTGTCACCATGCCCTTTATTTCCAAGAGTTATTTTTAAAAATTATTTTGTATATATTTTACATCATTCTTCCTTTGGTTAGGTAGTTATGCATATAATTTTATTTTTTTGTTATGTTTATAGCTTTAGTGTGGTGTGCACACACCACTCCAGCTCATTGTCTCCAGTTATTATTTCTTTAATATATATGAAAATTGTTTTGTCGTAAACACTTTCTTCTTTTCTTCCTCTTCTTTATATTTTTCACCCAAGTGGTGACCTTCACCAGAGAGCTTGATATTAAAGGAGAGGGTGAAGAGGGCAGACAGAAAAATTCTGTTTATTATTGATTCTCCTGGTAATTCCTCACCTCCAAATTTTCCATGTCTTGCTCATTTTCTAGACAAAAAAATATTAAGACCCCCCTCTAAAGCTATTTTCACATTTTTCTATGTATTAATTTTCATGAAAATAAAAGGACGGTGTTTTTCCTGCATAGCACCTTAACCCACTTTCTCATTGGTATGGTTTTTGAACTACTTGCTTTGATGTCTCAGATGCAAAAAACTGGCAATATTTTCATGCTTGAAGGCACAATAAAGGACAGAAGTTAATAGTTTGAAAGCACTTTGTGGTTTAAAAATCTATTTTTTATTTTGAAAAAATGCACATTAAAGGCAAATTCAGAAATATAGAGGGGGCCAGTGAAATTGCTGTCTTCACTGCTGTTCCTCCCCTCCCAGTCACATGCCAGTCTGTGCGTGTGCACACACCACTCCAGCTCATTGTCTCCAGTTATTATTTCTTTCTATTTTTCTTTTTTTAACACTCCAACAGATCTATTTTTTTTTAAACAATGCATTTTGAGGAGAAAAAACATGGGGTGGAGGATGGTGGAACAGAAAATAAATACAAATATAAGCTGTTTTGCTAATTCTTTATAACCATAACAAATTTGTACAGAGAATGCCCTGTATAAAGCAACACATAAAGGTCGATAAGTGTCCCTTAGACAAGACCGAAGATTTCAGCTGCTGGTGTTCAGAGTTCAGGCTGCCATCCTTGTTTCTGGACGGCTACTGCTGTGTGAGGCACAGTCCATGTTTTTTTTTTTTTTTTTTTTTTAAGATTTATTTATTTATTCATATGGAACTGGGCTACAGGCCAGAGATGTGGAGGGTGAGAGGATTCTCCAGAGACAGAGTGGGGAGCAGAACAGGCAGATCGACGAAGTACACTGCTGAGGGGAGCAGTGGGCGGGTCAGGAAAGGTCTGCCATTAGTGCTATGTGGGTCACTCTCCATAGCCCGGGATAGAACTGGTGCTGCAGTAGCTTCTGATAACTTCATAATGCAGTGCTTTAACCCGCTGCATCAGCAGAGAGAGCCCTGGGTAGCATTTTTCAAGGAGTAGCAGTTGAGTTGGATGGAAGGAAAAACTAGTAATCATTTTCGGGCCCTCCCTGGTGTGGTGCAGCGGGTTAAAGCACAGCACTAAGAAGCTAAAGCCACTTCAGCATGAATTCGATCCCTGCCCGGGAGGTGCACCTCTGGCCTGTACCCCAGTTCTGTATGCATAAATAAATAAATCTTAAAAAACAGAACAAAACTAGTAAGGTTTTCACATTCTTAACCTGCCTCCATGTGGGTCTGCTTCTCAGGATGTTACTTCTTAGATACCCATTTCTCTGCCATACATGCATGCATGGGCATACACACACCCGCACACACACACACACACACACACACACACCAGCCTGACCTTAAACCTTGTCCCGGACACTGTCATGTCATTTAATCCCCTGGCCTGCATCCTGCCCCCGGGCTGAATCATTAAACCCCAACTGTGCTACTTGTCCCTGGAGACTCTGCGTGGTTCACATGTATCCCCGACTACTGTGGGCTGCCTGCACGGGGACTCCCACTGTCCCCTCCGAAACCCAGTGTCCTAAGTCTCCGCTAAACTTGCCATACCCTTAGACACTGCCCCCTTTCTTCTCTCTGATTCCACTTCTAAGACCTGTCCACCTCTAGAGTTGCCTCAGCCCCTAACACTTGCCCAACCTTACCGAGTTAACCTTCTGCACGTCTTAACACCTTCTTTTCCTACCCCTCCAGTTAGCCGCTGACAGCTAGCAGACCTTTCAGTTCCATGTAGTGTAAGGCCTGGAAGTCTGAAGGGAGCTCAGGGCATCACAGGCACGGAGGAATGTACTCCCGCAGGGTCTGAGTTGGGTATATGGCTTGAGAGAGAGAAAGAGGGGCAAGGTTGGACAGTGAGGATCAGTGAGGATATGCAATTTTGGAACATAAAGAGCTTTTTGAAAACAAGTAGAGATCCCATAGGAGGACAGTTTTACGGCTTTTCTTATCTACAGTAGCACATTCTTTAACGATAGGGTAAGTTCTGAGAAATGTGTTATTAGGCAATTTTGTAGTTGTGTATACATCCTAGTGTGTTATTCCCCAAATAGCAGTACTTCATTTAGCTGGTGTAGCACTTCCAGGGGGTGAGCTGGAAGAGGAGCAGGGTCAGCTAGGACTTCTCATGGCTCCTGGATTGGCCTGGCAGTGTATGTTAACCGGTGCACTGAGCAGTAGTCATCTGGCACCACCTTGGCATACCCAGCCCTTCACTGAAGTGGCATGAGGCATATGCCAAAAATGTGTGAGAAGAGAAATGGTGGCAAAAAATTTATAAGGAATTTGGAAACAATTCCAAATAAATTTGAATTTTATTAATCTTATTGATTAATTAATAATTAATAAAATTAACTTATTAATTAATTAAAGAAATTACTATCTATTCACATACATTGACTTATTTGCTTGAAATTCCTATCTAGTGACACACATTGATTT